AGGAAGTTGTTATCTCCAGCATGTAAACCGCATTTCTGTTATGTCTGGGTTTTTGCGGGACACTTAAATACTAACAGCTGGAGCGTGTAATTGTCTGCTAGACTCAAACGGACACGCTCCGCGTCTTTCATCAAAAGTGATCCGAACTAAATGTTAAAATGGTTGCGTATGTTTTGAAAATGTTTTAATCTCGCGGGTTACAAATCTGGCGCCCATTTTGAGCTGAGCCGTGAATATTTATTTTGGCATATGTCTTGGAATGATTTTGGCTTGCTGCTGTTCATACTTAGAACGTTTGTCGCGTAATTGTGACATGTGAACTCAAAAAATAAGAAGAAAAAAAAAAGAGTTAGCGATAACAAAAATAAACTCTCGCCAAGCCGCTAAGATCACGCTACTTCACGTGAGCTAATTAACGCATGAGTTCCTCAGTGCTTCGTTCTCACGGAAGTTGAGAATATTGCGAAAGATTTTGCAGGTGTTTTGCCAATTTCATGAAAGCTGTCTTTGTTATATGAACAAATCGGCGCGATCTAACACTTGACTGTAAATCTCGAAGTATTTTTATCACCGGCACGTGTGTTATGGACCATAGACCTTCAAGGTGAAAGCGCTTTTGTGTTCCTTTGTATCATCTCACATTGTTGCTTTTGAGAATGATCAGAATGCAAATTAAATCTGCTTTTTTTTTTTGCACACCGCAAACACAAAAACGAGTTCATGTAACAGCCACAAATGGGCCTCCTAGTGATATCAAACATCAAAGAATTGCAACTGTACGTTGAAATTTCGCGGCAATTTACCACAATTTAACGCAAAACATGAATTAGGGGTTTCCGCGCTTTTCTTTAACTTTCTGGGAAAAGAGGTCTCCCTAATTAAAACAGATTAAATCGAATCGACCCTCAAACCATCCAACTCCAGAATTTTTTTTAGTTCGAATAAGATTTGTTGTAGACCATGTTATGTTTGAGTTTGTGTAAGAAACACTCTTTACGTACAGAGCCTCAGTTTGGTTAATTTGCCAGAAACTGAGAGTCCGAGTTGCACCCGGAGGTTGGGTCCTAGCAGTACACCCCACTTGAATCCCCCTTTCCCAGGGAGGTTTTAAAACCTTAGATGAATACGTTCAACTTAGTCATAGCTTTCCCTAAGCACCTCTGAAAATTTAACTTCAATATGCGACCGACATCGTTCTTAGGCGACCGACAAAAAGAATTGATAACATCCTTATCGTGTTGAAACACTATTGAGCGAAAACCTTCAATTTTTATTTAGCGAAATATGCAAGCATCATTGCTCATGGATTTCGCGCGAAAAGAAGTCATTGTAAAAATGCAAAACAGAGGAGCGAAGTTACGGTTTGAGTTAGGATTCGTTTTTCTTCTTTCGGTCGTCTTTGTTTACTGATTGGTTTATTTTAAATTCTTCAAATTGAGGAAACGTTATAAGCAACAAAACGCTGTGGTCTGAGATCGATTCTCCTAAACTGTTCACACACGCGCACTTTTATTAGTCAATTAGTTGCTTCGTGAGAATTTAAACTTGCACGAATTAGTAGTTTCCGGCCAAGTTTTGTAAGTTCTTAAAACTGGTGTGCGCCAAGCGGTTTTACATTTGACAGAAGAAAGTCTCAAATACTTAATTCAGGAAATAAACTTCGCGCGAAATCTGGTGAAAAAAAAAAGCAAATATCTTGTTTGGGTGGCTTGCGCTAAGCAAGCTGGAAATTGTCTATCAAACGATTGCTATATTTGAATATAGAGGTAAGTTTCTAAAGTACCTGTGATATATGCTGTATCATGATTAGTGGGGGGTATGACTAGACAATTTGGTGTTATCACCTGAGTTGATGATACAAATTGGTCTCCGGAAAACAGTCTCTATAGCGAACGTTCGAGCGTTAGCCCCTCTTCAGAAAGAATTACTTCGGCGATTCTAATTTACTACTTGAGTAACTTTGAGCATGTTTTCATTACTGATTCCTCTTCGCTGTCAATCTATCCTCAATTCTATGAACTTCTTACCTCACTACCGCAATCTCAAATCGAGAGACTTCAAAGCCGACCAAGCTTTCGCCAACTTGACTGATCAAGGTCGTGAGTCAACTAAACGCGGCAACTTATGTGCCGGCTTTTATAGAGAAAATATAGCTATTTATAGACTTGTTTTTGAGCCGAATTGCACAGCCAAGTCCTTTATTGCCACCATTTTTTTAGACACTAGTTTTAAAGATACATGTTAGATAAAATAGGACGGGGAAAATAGTACATAGCTAAGCTTCTTTCGATAAGTATAATTCTTTTCTCGATCTCCTGCGCGACATTTCAAATCACAAATTTAAAAACCTCATGATCAAAAATCACTGAAGTACAGCGAATCCAATTTCCATAGTTTACTTCTCATACAAGTGCCACAAAAGCTGTTCCTAAAAATAATTCCAATAACACCCACCATCATGGAAAAAACAAAGAGTAAATAAGGCTATAAAGGATTAAAAGTTATAAAAAGATCGCGTAAAATTTGATTATTGCTATTAATCAGCGCTTAATTTAGCGAGAATGGTGAAGAGGGGTGCGTGTGCTCTAAGAGGGTTAAACCCGTTTTATCTGTTGTGTTTCCTTAAATAGACTCAATTTAATTAAATATTGGAATGATTCAATTGTTCACGCTTCCAGTTCTGACCAAGTTCAAAATTCTTGAAGGTCACCTTTCACGTTGAAAACTTCTCGAATGAAGTTTGTGATGGACTAATTTCCGGCAAATATAACGTGCATTTAAAACAATTATTGCTGAGGGAAATTGGCGCTTAAGAGAGTAATATCGAATTTTGCTTTTGAATAACTTGCGAGAAATATAGCAAGCTGATACATGAAAGAGTTTCAAATGAGTGTTTCCAAACAAGGTTAGCATTTATATTTCTTTAAGAGAAACATGCATCAACACAATCGCACTGATGCCCCGTTTATCATAAACGCATAATAGAGCAAAAAAAAACACACAATATCAGGCAATCGATTTCCAGAGAGATCTCATAAACAAAAGTCGATTTATCCTGTGAAATGTAGCTTCCGAGCAGGCTGTCGTTAAGGACCATTCAGCCAAGAAGCCATTAGCAGTCAAGAAGGCTAGACCGAGGAGACGTCGATTAAAAAAATGAATTTCTATCTTTAGATGGCTGGATGTGTTTATTGTGTCTTACGACGCCACACCTGAACTTCAGCATAACGTATTTAATTAAGCAGCTTTGAGTTACAAATGGAAATTAAATTAATTTGCAGTCACAGACGACGCATGTTTTGGTGATTTCACGTTGTTGTTTTGCAAAGGTACAAAGCTATAAAACGCACGTGCTGAGCTTTTGTTCTACCCATTAGAACTTTTAATTTGCCACGTCCTCGTTGCTGTCGTCGTCGTGGTTCGCTTAAGGTCCTAAATGTTATTAGAGCTGCCGGACGCGCGTTTTAACGCCGCTGGAAGTCCGGGAGAGGTTTTGCCGGTGGTCAAACAGTACAAGACCTCATACTTTCGCGCGGGCGAGGAAATGCTCAGACCGAAGCGTTCATAATAAGAACCTACTCGTAGGCTTTGTGAAATGACTTCTTAACGGGAAATGGAACAAATAAGCGCGCGAAGACGAAAATAGGCCCGGGAAGTGAGGCGAGTAGAGAGGGATCTGGTGATTGAGAACGTGATATGGACAGGCCTACGCAACTCCTTACAAGCCATTCTAGTATCACCTGCTCAAACGAAGATTTTTGGAATAGTGCCAACATCATTGAACGGAAGCCTCTTCCTGCCCTGATCTGAAGTTTGTCTCCAGTATCTCTCTTGATGAAACAAAGTTTATAGGACCTTGGTGTCAAAAATTCTTCGCGTAAAGGATTCTGGCACCTTCAAATCTGGCTGAGTATAGCCTGGGGGAAAATCGAGTTTGATCTTCTGTAGAACGCCAGCGAAAAAGGGGAAATTTCAATTTTAGCCACCGACTCGCCTACACATCCCCGAGGACCGCCACCAAACGGAAAGAAACTAAAGGTGACCGGGCAAATGAGGTTTCCCTCGTCGTCCAAGAAGCGTCTGATCAAACGTGTCTTGGTCCTTCCAATGTTTCGGGTCATGAACATCCCTGAGGTCGAAATCACTTAGGAATTTTCTGGGATGTCTTAGTCTCTAAGTGTTGTGTCGCTGAGCACTCGATGAGGAAAAGTGACGAAGACGCGTGAGCTATTGCGCATGATCTCCATCGTGGTGGCTTTCAGATATGGTAAACTTCTTTTGTCCTGCAAACAAGGCTGATGGTTAAGGCCTATGACGTCATCCAACTCCCTGTGTATTTCAGCTTGGACATCTAGCAAGGACGCTAAATAAAGAAGTGACCAGATCAAAACTCTGTGCTTGTATTTGTCCCAGCAAGTAAGAGATCTGACAACGTGTACATGGCGAATGGTTCCTTCTTCGCACGTCTGTCTGTGTTCGTGGATGCAAGGCCAGAGAAGCTTCTTTGTTAGATCGTAGCCGAACTTTTAAGGCGTTTGTGAATGCTCAGCGGAAGATATTTCATGAATGAAAATGTAGCGAGCCAACTTGTACAAGATGCATAGCTAGTCTCCTCAACCGGCTTGTCGAATTTCCTCAAGAACTCGTTCTCCTCAATGAAGTGTTTGTTAAAAAAACGAGAAGACAATGTTCTTTACTCATCGAAGAATACTCTTCCTTGGATTAGTAGGGACACCTTATGACTCGCTTAAGAAACCGAACAGCTCATCGACTTCACGTTGGGATTTTTCTTCCAGATTTTGCACGCCGCTTCCAATCATTCAAAAAGCTGAATGAGATATCTTTCGTAACAGCTTCCAGCAACGGCCCAAAGAATCGAACATTTTGTGTTCCAGCTAGTGAAGATGTTTCCTTTGCGAACGAGGGCATCCCAAGATAACTCGATATCATATAATAACAAAAAAATTTTTACCTAGGCATGAAATCATGTAAAAACTCACCGTATTGTCTTGCCAGGCTCCTGATGATCACGGGGTTGAGCTCCTTCATCTCCAAGGTAAAGGGCACGGTTCAGGAGGAAAGTGGTACTTTCGCTCAGACCAGTGACGCATCACTGTAAGATACAGTAGACTTGAAATGATGAAGATAATCAGTGCTTTCCAAAGCATGGCAACAAGATTAATTCATGTAGCTGAAAGAGAAATAAAAATAAAGTGTCCGGTTAATTTTTTATGTTTATTTTTGTATGTTTGTCTTTTTTTAGCTGTTATTCAGTGAAAAGAATTACTTTCCTTCAGTTCTCTAATATGAAATAATACTCCTTTACGAAGGCTATAATGTACTAATAGTTTGACTCATTTTACTTAAGTTTCCGAGGAAGCCATTCTTTTTAAATGACAAGTTTGTTCTTGGAGTAATAAGGACAAGACAAAAAACGCTGATTATATGGAAAAACGCTTTTCTGCCGTATGAATGCAGCAATCAAACCTTGGGCATGCGAAAGGGGATCAATTTGGCCGCCCGCGCGGCCATTTCCCGCGCAAAATTTCAAAGACAAGCATATGAGAAAAACGGAAAACAAACAAAACGCTTATAAAAACCTGCTAATGGAAAGTGAGTGGAGAAAAGGAAAACTCAAGAATTATCGAAGACAAAGCTTAGTATTCAAATACAAGTATCCTGTTGATTTACCAGTCTGTTTTGTAAGAGGGTGAAAGGGTTTTTTTCTCGCGATGCGAGATTAGGTGTTTTTAATTTTGGTGACCGAAGAAAACACAAAACTAAAACCTCGTGAACTGTGAAAATTTTCTTTTTTCGTGGTACGAAAACCATAATTTTTTTAATCCGATTTTTCGTAATGCGTTACATCTACTTCTTGATGACCGCGATGGCTTGTGTGGTTCTTTGCACTCGAGCGAGAAACTTGGCTCTGACAGCCTGAAAGGACGCCACCCAGTCTATACAACGTTAGTACATGCGTGCTCGTTTGAATTCTGTTTATTACCTACTTTCCTGCATGTACAAGGGTTTGAAGACATGATAACATTTTTGTAAGGCTCTTTAATTTTGATAATAATCCGGAAAAATTCAAAAGCATCAAACTGAAAGTAACGATCAACCAACATGCCACCGTTGATAGTGCTTTGCGCATTCGTCTCACGTACGATCTTAACGCGTTTCTTGGAAGCTTCGAATTGATCGACGCATTACCAATATGAATTTCAACCATCTCGTAACGTAAAAATTTGCTCCCGCGAAGCACAAATCACAGCAATTCGCGAAACCCAAGCCAGCAAGATTTTTGAGCTAGTCGGTACATAGTAGATGAATAGAAAATATAATTATGTAAGATTTGCCTCCAAGGTCAAACATAATTCGCGAATGTGAATTTTTCCATGAGAGACTACTCCTCTGGAAATTTGAAAATTAAATCAAACGAGCAGACAAAGTTATCCAAAATACCTTGACCTGAAGATCTTTTAACACAAGAGCGTGCTGTAATGAAGTAGTGTAGGGTGGGGGAAGGGGGGTACCTTACCTCGATGAGTCAAAAAAGTTTAAAACTGAATTGGGGAAGCGGTCAATCTCTACTTGCGCTGAATTCGATAAGTTTCTTTCGCAAATGTGCCGACTGACATCCTTGGAAAACGCCGCGGAAAGCATTAGACAAATGCGAATTCGAGAGGAACGTTTTAGATCTGTCTTCAGGTGATATCCAAGACTTCTTTTAAAATAGGGTGAAATTAACTATACTGGCTGATGTAATTTGAGGCAGATTTCAATAGTCAGAGTGTCGATCATATATAATGCTGCTACCACAATGAACAAACTTCTAAAAAAGTTCCTTGATGTTACTGTTCAACAAAAGACAAATTCTGTAGCCTGAGAACTGTCAACAGCTGTCTGTATTGCTTACCTGCACTGAGGTAATTTTATCCAGATTAATTATACGTTCTGAAGTTTTTTAGCAAGTTTGACCTGTTTTAAGAGATGGTGGGAATGGAAGGGGAGGTTGAGGGTCCTAGGAGCTTTTATATTATATTGAGTTATTACCTTAAAAACGATATCTAAATTCTGAGCATAATTTTCGGCATAATGCCATTTTTTTCGGGGGTGACGTTCTAAACCATAATTCTCAAGCTTTCGAGGATAATATAGATGACCCCAGTTCTTGCGACTATCGTGTCAAAAATTTGCATTTCAGCACGCGTGATATTGCACATGCTTCTTCTTATCAGCTAATCATAACCGACAATTTATCATTATTAAATAAAATTCTGAGAGAGACTGCACTTCTAAGAACTTAAGTTTCACCGTCATAATAACTTGAAATCCATACACTTATGTCGATTCCGACAGAAGTTATGTAATTTCAAATCCTTCCATCAATTTGGCGTCAACTTAAATAAGTTTAGAGAGCATATTTAGAGATCAATAATAACCATGTCAGATTTCAGATACAAATTCACTCACCTCGTAGTTAAAAAAGGATAGCATATAGTATCTCGGCGAACAGATGCGTGTTGAATGCTCGCTCGAGTTTACTCGATCGGTCCCTGATCACTTGCTCAGTGCACGGATTCAAGAATCTGTTTACAGTTGTTGTTTACTAGCAAATGACAAGTCTCTTGTGAACAACGGTATGTTAACTACGTGATTATATGGATAATGTGATTTCCCTTTCTGATAAAATTAGGATGACACGTGAACAAGAGTGAGGTTACCACGTGGGCATGTGTAATTCGCAATCTGATTGCGTTGCATCATGGTCGTAAAAGGAAAAATGAAGTCATTTGCATCCTGTTGCGGTCGAGTGAACATCTTTGGTGGCAGCGAGAATAGCATCAATATGTAAGAGGGATGTTGCCGTTCCTTTGAAAGTTGTAAAAGCGTACGCGTCGACAGGCCTGTGCGACTCCCGCCATTCCTCCGTGTCGAATTCGTCCTTAGGAGGCAACTGACGAGAATCAGGAAGAATCGAATCTGCAGTCTGCCTTAGAAAGAAAATTAAACAAATGGAAGCAGTTACACACAGACGATGGCTGTAAGAATAATATCAAAGTTAGAAATTACATTCCCAGACGCGAGTTACTTGACAGGGAATCAACCCTTGACATTCAAACACATAACAAAGAGACAGACACCTCCTAATACACAAAGCTCTTTTTCGTGTTAGGGGTAAATGAAGATTCTTGAAAGGAGAAGTGCCTCCTAAGAACGAATTCATCAAGCTCCATGTTTGATAAAAATGTACAGAGTTTCAAAATACGCTTAAAGAATAGAAGATACCCAAATGAAGTTTTGAGAAACGTATCTCTGGAGTTATTTCTCTAGTAGAGAAAGGTTACTTAAAACGGTATAATTTTAACGGAATGTTCAGTTAAAATCTGCCACGTAAAATGGAGTCTGGAAGCGCATTCAAATCTAGCTGGGTTGATCCTTCTGAAAAAGGCCAGCTAAAAAGAGGAAATTTGAATTTTAGCCGACAACTGGCCTATACATCCCCGAGGACCGCCACTAAACGGAATGGAACCAAAGGTAACTGTGTAAACGAAGTTTCCGTCGTCGTCCAAGAACTGCGTTAAGTCAAAAGTGTCTAGGTCTTTCCAATGTTTTGGGTCTTGATGAACAACCATGAAGTCGAAAATCACTTGAGAATTTTCTGGGACGTCGTACCTTCCAAGTGTTGTGTCGCTGAACACTCGATGAGGCCGAGTGGCGTAAACCCGAGAGCTATGGCGCGATATCTCCATCGTGGTGGTCTCTAGATATGGTAAACTGCCTTTGTCCTGCAAGCGAGGCTGACAGTTAGAGTCTATGACGTCATCCAGCTGACTATGTATCTTCCCTTGGACATTTAAGAAGGAGGTTAGACACGTCACGCGCCACTCGGTCAGGTTGATGAATGAACGGCAAAGCCTTTACGATTCTCAATACAAGTTGTTTGTAGGAGCTTTCTCGAATTAGGGCGGCTAAAACACTAAACAATCCGTATCGCTGACATACAGTGAGGTTCAAACTTTCCTAGACGGGGAAGAAAACCAATATACTAAAAGAAAAACCGAAAGTTACGTATTCAGTGGCTTTGGTGTTAGCATTTCTCTCGTCTGAGAATGAAAATCGACAACTGGAAGATTTGCCACTAGCCGATTTTGGCCGTTTACCTGAAAGACTTCTTCTGTCGGTAAGGACAAAGTCAATAGATAAGAATTTTGTAAATTGAAAATTACGACCATTGCTGTTCTTGTAATCATCATTCAACGCACTTTTGCATCTTAGGAGTTAGCGCCAACGCACTCTACGATTGTTATTCGAGGTTTGTCGATTCATTTCTTTTCATTCGTAAATGAAGTCGGCTTTTCTTCTCAATAAAGGGCTATTGTATTTATATGATAAACAAAATAGTACATGGTTGCTTGTAGATATGGAATTTCTCTT